ATCATGAAAACAAAAAAGCATTATACAGATAAAGACAGATTTGGACAGAAGTATCTCGCAACAGAAAATCAAACCTATATTTTGAAGTTTTTCACATAAATCTGGGAACCTTGTTGCCATTCTAAAGCCGTATGTATTTAATGTACCTGATTCTGGTGTCCGGACAATGGCGCTGTCAATGTAGCCCGCTTCAGTGGTAACTGCAGAGACTTCAAAAAGATAGGTGGTGTATGGCCTGAGGTTAGATACAACAAAGCTGATGGGTTCACTCCAAACAGAGCTCATTTGACTTGGTGCCTCTGTAACTGGTGTCACTGTAGTCTGTGAAAGAACTGTGGGTTTCCCAAAAGTAGTTGAAGGAGTGGTAGTACTCCACAAAAAAGATTCACTCTTATCCTATAAATACAAAATATGAAACACAATCAGGTGCATCTATAACCAGAAACTGTAAATATATGTAGATAAAAAAGGCAGACCATCTTTGAAAAAAATTACCCTAAATTGGTTCTCCTTTTTGTACTTCAGTTTCCAAATTTAGGCAGACTGTGCTAGTGCTTCCTGTTAGTGACAGTGTTATAGTTTCCTGCCATTTTCAAAAATATCTCAAATCTGCCTGAACAGAAGCATCTCTCTAGGATTCATCTAACTATTCCCAGTTTCTGTTTTCAGCATTTAGTCTCTCTCTTGAAAAGAAGGTTCCCTAGCACGATCCTTTTGCATCACATATATGTTGTGTGTGTGCATGTGCACATATATCCATACATCATGGATAAAACTACACATATATCCATACAACACACATATATCCATACATCATGGATAAAACTAGACAGAGTTTCTTAATCCATCCTGTCAGGAGACAACTCTGAAAAATTGCTAGGCATTGTTGTGACCAATGCTTATGGTTCAGCAGGTGGCAGCCTGCCTTCTCAGTGCTGAATTAAATCAGCCTGGTGTCAGGAACCGTTGCAATGCCTAAGATGATCTTCCAAATAAAACCTGAAACCAAAGCTATGATAATTTATGTCATTTAAAACCACTTTTCATTAAAGCACCAAGCTTAGGAAATTGAAAGGAAAGAAAAAAACATAAAAAGAAAAAGATTTGTTTATTTTATGATTTGACATTTGAGTAATTGCAAAACTCTGTTCAAAGTAAGAAGGATAAAAAGAAAAAATTCTAGACAAGAGAATTTTCTTCAAGAAATTCCAACAGAATACAATGGTTGCAGGTCTGAATTCAATAATAAGAACAATTCAAACTACAACCATATTTTTGAAAATCACTCTGCTAAACATGCTTGGTTTTTATTTTGATATGAGAAGTATTTAAAAAATATTGAAATGTGATACACAGAATAAAGCATATTTTTAAATACAAAAAGCATTATCATACTACATAGAACATAAGACATTATGTTATAACAATACTACATTAGAACATTATGTTATAACAATACTATATGATCTGCACTGACCAAAAAACCCCTGTAACTTTTTTGGGTTTTTCAAATTGAATAGTTTGTAAAACAAAAAATAAAAAATTGAAAGCTGAAAAAACCAGAAATTTTCTATTTCATGATTTTCTGTTAAAAATATGCCAAACTTACCCTTTCAGAACATTTTTACTTTGATTAAACTCAAATTTTCAAGCAAAAGCATTCCATTTAAACTACATTGAACAGAAAGGGTTTTCTTCATCCATTTTGTCTTGTCTTGGGACTAAGTTTGTAAGATTTTTGGAATCTTTCTGAAAATCAAGCCTCCATATTTTTGTGTCTCAAATTTAAAATGTAAAACTATATTCTGTGGGTTGAGTCTATTTCTAATTTAAAAGGTCTATAGCACTTACATTACATTCTGGTAACCTCCCAGACAGAAGGTCCTCTACTTTAACCAAGACATCTTTCACTACAATTCCACTTCTTGCATGTTTCACACTAATCTTGAAACTAGTTATCTTTCCATTTGGTTGCCGAGGGAGAAACCAGATCAGATTTACAGCTGAAGAATTTAAGGCTTCAACTGTGAGATTCACTACTTTACCTGGAGCTTGAAAAAAAAACAAACAAACAAACAAAAGCAGTGAGATAAACTTTTCTTCTCAGCATTGAAAACCAGCAAACTCCTCTTTTTTT